GGGGGGCGCGGGGTCGGGGGGGGCCGTGGGGGGGAGCCAGGAGCACGGGGCCCAGAGGGGCCCAGGGGAGGAGCCGGGAGCACGGGGCCCAGAGGGGCCCAGGGGAGCAGTGGGGCCTGCTCTGGCGCTCCCCCTGCTACTCCTGTGGGGGCCCTGTCCAGGAAGCTTCGCAGGGCACAGCAGCCAGAGTCCAGCCCCTCTTGCGTCCTTGCAGACATCAACGAGTGTGTGAGCCTGCCGGGTACCTGCTTCCCGGGCACGTGTCAGAACCTGGAAGGCTCTTTCCGCTGCATCTGCCCCCCGGGCTACGAAGTGCAGAATGACAACTGCATCGGTAAGGCTGGGTCCTCCATCCTGCCGCCAGCTGGGCCAGGCTCCTACACATGCTCCTCTCCAAAGCAGGAGCAGCCGGCTGGCCAGGGACTGAGGCTTCACTCCTGTCTTGTCAGTTTCACCCTTGCTAAGGGGATCTTTGTAACTGTGTAATTAACTGCCTAGCCTGTGTGGAGAGAATCAGTCCAGCCTAGCTGCGGGTCATAGGCCCCGCACTGTGAACAGCTCATAGACTCATAGACTTTAAGGTCAGAAGGGACCATTATGATCATCGAGTCTGACCCCCTGCACAGTGCAGGCCACAGAATCTCACCCACCCACTGCTAGAATAATCCTCTCACCTATATCTCAGATATTGAAGTCCTTGAAACGATGGTTCAAAGTCCCCCAAGATGCAGAGAATCCTCCCGCTAGTGACCCGTGCCCCATGCTACAGAGGAAGGCAAAAAACCTCCAGGGCCTCTGCCAATCTACCCTAGAGGAAAATTCCTTCCCAACCCCAAATATGGTGATCAGCTGAACCCTGAGCATGTGGGCAAGAATCACAAGCTAGACACCCAGAAAAAAGTTTTCTATAGCAACTCCTATCTTCCCACCATTGGCCTATTTACCACCTGAGAGCCTGTATCCCCAAATGGAAACTGCACCCCTCGCATTAGGGATGTCAGTGTGCAGACAACTAAACGATTTACTGATAAGCCTGGGCTTATTGATTAATTCTGTCAACTACGCATCTTTCCCCACTCTCCCCCTCCCCCCTCAGCTGCCTCTGGATCAACAGCTCG